AACCCCATCGTCATCATCATCATCATCGTCGCCGCACTGTTGCACATTCGCAGCAGCAGCAACGTTCAATCCAAACCAAATTTTAAGAGTCACTTAGAGGTCCCACCTCATTGGCCTGGCTTTCAGGTGACACTGAGCTTGGCTCCACGCCTCACAGTCACGGTCACTCACATCCGCGATATATTTGTGCATGTTATAAATTGCATTATTATTATAACTCCAGTGCATAATACTCACGTGGTTTATTTAAGCAAATGTTATGGCCAGGTCAGCGTATTGGTGGGTGGCAGGTCAGCGTTTCCAACCACAGGTAAGCCGTACACCGCACCAGGTAAGTGATGCGTATAGGAGATGACCGCACAAAGTAAACACAGCATTTGGCGATGATGTTCGAAGCCAGGAATGGAGCATACGTAGTTGATAATGTAATGCAGTGGTACAAGCCACCATATCATGCAAAACACAATTCAAAACACACCCACAACACACCCACCCACATGCATGAACACAAAGATCCTTTTGTTCGTTGGGTTAGGGCATTGGGATAAGTGCCGTGAATGAGCGCCTATTATGAGCTGGGAGGGCTAATGCCACGCCTAGCCACCTTCAACTCCCCACCTTATCACATTTTGCTTGGATGGGGGAACTGCTCTTTCAACGCATCTGGCTCGCGAAGAAGATTAGCCGACATGCATATTGACAGATGGGGGCCTTGAAGTAATATAAGGACAGCATGCAGGGTACATTAACGCTTATAAACTGAATTATTTACCAAGAAATGCCTGAGTATGAAGACAATCGTAACGAGTCCTGCTAGGGATATTAAAAAAACAACTAAAATATACTTTTACGAGTAAGCGGAAACAGGACCACCTAGAGAAAGCAAAATCCTACATGGAACACTGAAATTAGGCAAAGATGAGTCTGAAATCTACTTTCTGTACTGCATCTACAGTTATCACCTCACTCCTGCCCATAGTCTCAGGCTTACCATAGCCCACTCCACCAAACCTGCCCTCCAAGTTGCTGTATTACAGGCATGCCCCACCACACCCTTATAAACCCACTGTGCGTGTGTGGTGTTGTCTTTGTTGTGTGTTTAGTGGGGAGCGGTGGTCTAGTGGTTAACGCTTTGCGCTATGAACCCAGCCACCCGAGGTTTGGTTCCCACTCACGGCCAACACCGGTGACGATTATCTGAACCGGTCCTCGGCCTCCCCCGAGGTCGACTCAGCCTTAAATGAATACCTGGTGCGGTGTGTAAACATCGCCACTTAAGGAGACAAAGGCGGCCGGGCGTGGTGCTGGTCACCCACCCCCTTGTGTTTCCATGTCGGCCTAAATGGGGGTGCTCGCTAACAGCACTTTCCACAAAAGTCTGTTAAAGCTATAGGGGGGGGGGGGGGAGACTTTTTCGTTGTTGTGTGTTTACGTAAATAAGGTAAACACATAAACGACCGATATTTTCCCACAGATGAGGCTCAGAGCATCTTAGCCCCATTCTCTGGTGAGCCCATCTCCTCCCACACCTCTCCCCAGCCCCCAGGGCTCAAGGCCCGCTTCTCGCCTCCCCTCCTCCCCACACCAGCTTCATACACCGGAACATAGTTTCCCAGAAATTAAGCCCTGACAAATGCAATGTTTACACTGCTTAATAACAAACTCAAATGGGATTTATTGCAAACGATTTACATTGCATTTCAAGGAAATACAATATTTATATATACACTGCATAAATGATGTAATGCCATATTCGATACGCTGTATACATTTAAGAAACAAAAATAAAACTTAACTACCCTCATTAACAAACTGAAACATATATAATGTATCATTAGCTCGTGTTTCAGGCAATGGCCTTTCTTTGGAGTAAAAAAGGTGCTTTCATGAAAACCTGAATGGAAGAGGAGACTGCATATATTGTTTTAACGGTGGTGTCCTAATGGTTCTAAATATGATGGATTGCACCATTTCGCTACTTACACGTGTAGCGGGAACACCGTGATATCATAATCACTCAACTATTGCCAAGCTGTAGTTGAACCCACAAAGGCTAGAAGGCATCTCTGCTCGATTGCGAGGGGGTGCGTGTGTAAACGCAGGCAAGTGTCTGCCCGTCAAGACTCAAACGCCGCCCTCACTCGTGCTCGTCGGGTACAAGGTTCGAGAGGGGCACCCGCGAGGGAGCCTGTGAACTACAAGCACTAAAACACGAATGTTGACGCAACAAATTACAGGGCGGCGGGGGGGGGGGGGCATCGTTGGGCGTGGAAGATAAACTAAATTACGGGCAAGATAAAACATTAAGGTGTTTCTCCCAGAGTCAAGGTTATTTAAAATAAACGAAACCCGCTTTTTTGTTATAAATATACGAAAACAAATCTATAAAACTCAGTGTATTTTACGAAAGGACAATGGCTCGTGAAGGCCAAAGGGCCCACACACCCAGTGTGGAGAGTCAGTGGGGCAATAGGCAAGGCCATTTCTATGACTCGCTATGTCAGTGGCTGGAACGTAACAGAGAGACGTGAAAAAACGAAGGACATTACCCGGCGGCCTTGTCCTTTCGGCATTATTATTATTTTAAAAGCCGAGACTATAACATGAACAATAGACCCTCTTATCAGCAGAGATGGTACCCTCCCCACAAAGAGTGTGCCTTGGTCGGCTGAGCAGGGGATTGGACTCAGGTCGGGCTGAAACATGGCTTGCTTGGGTGTAGTGGAGCCGACACAAACGAGGATGTGGCGACCTTCACAGAGAGGAGTCTCAATCCCCAGCAACGAGTCGGAGTAAATGATGTGCTGCTGGCTGACGCATATGGTGCCACCGAGTGGGATGAATACATTGCGAAAGAGACAGGACGCGTAAAATGTGCACTGCGTATATTTGTAGATTTTTAAAGCGTTGCTTTTTGGATTAAAATCACGTTGAAAGGTATTTCACTGCACCTCCGATTAGCACGGTTGGCTAAGTGCGGTGCGAAAAATTGTTGAACATACATGCAAACACATTTTGTCGAAAATGAAGAGACAAAACTTAACAATTCCGCTGAAATAATGTAAAATGTTTACTTTAAACTTTAGTAACTGCAAGAATTCATATTTTTTTGGTTCTTTCGGTAAAGAATATGAAATAATCTTGTGAAAAAGACAGAATGTGGTCTCTATCTTCACGTCTTCTTTATGTACATAAAACAGTTCCCTTCTGACTGATGCACGCACGACTAAACTGTGTACAAATCAAGCAGGCAGCGTACAATTCAGTTATCTCTGTTGGAGGGAGATATATATTCTGGTACGTTTGTTTGCGAAGGCACGCTGTCATCCCTACACAAATTAATTCCACTCAATGTAATTACTGAGCAACTAAACAAACTCAACATTTACATAGCCAAAACGAGAATAAATTACGCGGCGACAAAACTTCAAACAAAGTCTAACTAACCTTGACCAGTGCTCATTAACCATAACATCAGCCTGAAATAGCCACGTTTCTACATGGCCGCCAAGCATTTTGTAAAGAAAAAAAACGAGAACTGTATACATTGTTGTAAACAGCATTCGGATTTAATAAGGAGCACAGATACAACAGCCTCTCTCCGCAGACCAGTTCCCAGTGGATTGTGCCGTCCACCACCCCCCCCCCTCCTCTCTTTCTCCGCACAAAAACCACTCACTTACCACATTTCCATAAACAGCAGCCATTCACAAACAAACAGCCACGGCTGGGAAGAGGGCCACAGACCACCTCGTTAACTTTTCCACATTAGGCCGAGCGGGCCCATTAATAAACTCCGTCTGCCTCGTGGGCCACTTTCGAGAAGGGAATGCAGAGGTGGTCCGGGCAGCTCAGCCACACGTGCAGCCACCTCCGTTTCAGTCCCCCTGGCTGCACCGTCGCCTGCCATCCCGTCGCCGCCTGCCTTATAACCGGGGACTATGTGGGGGAACAGCCCACGAGGGCCGTATGTGCGCGAAGGCGGCTTTTAAAGGGCACATTTGAAGAGCGCAGATGGGTAGGGGTCTCAACAATTGGTTGTTAAAGACAGTAACTGAGCTAAGGAAGATGAGTGTACGCCTCTGGTTTTTTTTTCGATGGTAGAACTTCATTGGTCGCAAGGATTGCATTTGCCTGGAGAATGATAAATAGTAATGTTCGATGCTATATTGTTATCTGTAAAGTGACAGCATCATTGATGTTTGGCTGATCGGACTCTCAATATTATTTATGTCAGTGCAGAAAAAATGTAAGTAATATTATACTGTGATGTGGCGACAAACATTTTAGGGAAAGTGAAATGGCCCTTCAAGCCATCTTCCTAGATTTGTCGTTATGTATCCACTCACGACTCGTTATTTCGATAGCACATTTTATAGCATAACTTTTAAGCATCTGTGATCGTTTGTTCTTTTGCAAAATGTCAACTTAAAGATAGATGGAGTAAATTGTGCAATTTCAGTGTGCATGTGTCTCCGTAGCTTGCGCATATGCAAAGCGCTACATGCTTCAACAAGTGCATGCTGTGTCCAACATCAAAGAGATGCAGTGCGTGTACTGTATAACGCTGGAACACATGCCTATTTACAATGTTAGGCTCATTTTTTTTCACGCAGGTAAGCCTCACGGAGTGTCAAGAAATGTTCACAAGAATCCTGCTTAGGGTGTTTGGGTAATTGCTTCAAAGAACAAATTTGCTTGTGAATATGAACATGAGTATGTGGAGATACTAATCCCCCGTTCAACTGAGAGGCAAAAACACTCAAATCTTTTGTATAAACATGTCAGAAACCTACTCACCATACTACATCTAGAAACAATTCGCCACCGCGATCGGTGGATGTTGTACACACTTCACGACTGCAGGTGTGAAACCGCCACCACACTCAACAACGGTGCATTTGCAATTGTGAGCACGCGTGCTTGCAAGTCGATTGCGCGATGCTGTCAACGACACGCCGGGAGCGTGTGTCACGCCGTGTGTGTGTGTGTCTGCGTACCTGCATGGTAAGCTATGGAGCCCCGGTTCCAGCCTGGGTGCCGATGCTTGGGGTAATCCTGCAACAGCAACAATAACAACAACAAAGTGCAGAGTGGTTAGCCTCTTATGTGCAATCCCTACTCAGTACCTCCATGGCTACGCACCATCGCCCCCTCCCCCCCATAGCCGCAACGGTGCGCACCTTCCACGGACAAAGGCATCTCGTGAGCTGCGGGGCCACAGCAGGATGCAGCAGAGCCTATTTAGGGCTAGGCCAGGGGTCAGAAACCTGTGGCTCCGAAGTCGCATGTGGCTCTTTAAGGACTGCTTCTTGACATTATTCACATTGCATTGCGGCTCTTAAAATATTGAGTTATTTACAGAATTAGCAAAAAATTGGCTCTTATTATTATTTTGGTTGCCGACCCCTGGGCTAGGCCATGGGGTATACCTCAGAACAAATCAGCCGGACAAGTGCCCAATCTTGTCAGATCTAATAAGCTAAGCAGGCTTGAGCTTGGATGGTGCTAGAATGGGTGACCACCATGCACAACAGGTTGCTATAGGCTGCAGGGAGCTTTGTGGTGGGCAGCGAGGGGCAATGCTGTGAAATCCTTTGTTGCGCTGTACTTCTCCTATGCTCCCACGTCTATACCCCCTGCTGACAACCAACCCGCACTGACCATCATGGTGCAGTACGGTCAAAAAAGCCCCGTGACCCACGTGGTGCGGGTGAGCCACTCTTCCAGCAGTGGATTGACAAAAGAGTCGTGCATTTTACACGTACAAGGAGTAGCCTGGTTCAGCAGCATTGACATGAGAGTCAGGGAGTAGGAAGGGAAGGAGGTAACTGAGGGTAAATTTGGAGAATTATGTATGCCAGTCACTGAAGGGGTCTTTATTGTTAAATGGCTTTGTTAGCCATGCACACACAATTATAACGCACGCTGAGTGCACGAATAAACAGCCAAACATTCAACATTTTGTAATAATGCATTTTTAAAGTATTTTAATGCATAAAAAATCATTTCAACTACACAGAGGATTGCGCAGATAAAATGGTAATTTTCACAGTTATTTGACTTGGAGGTTTTGCAAATTAGTTCGGAGGTTAAGAGGCTTTTGTAGTTTTCGTGAAAACAAATTAACTGTGCTTGGATGGACATGGGGACATAATACTTCCCAGGCAAAGAAATAAGCAGCCTAATGACTCCCTTAAAAAGGAGCGGGAGCAAGAGGGGAGAAACAATTGTGCAGCGTGTAAAAGCGACAGGGTTAAAGAGTGAAGCTAAAGGAGCAATGCGCACGCTCACGGACCGCAGGCATCTGCCCTTGAGAAGCATAATTTGCACAGAGGTGATAAACCGAAATGTGTGTGGTCATTTTTATCTAGAAAGTTTATGAGCAAAATGTACGGATTGCTGACTTCCCCCTCCCCCTCCCGGTGCAATCGGTTACACCCTCAAGCTAATCACCATCCACTCTCTTTCTTCCTCACTCCCAACACCAAGCCTCCAACGCGTGAGCATGACTATCGCGCTCAGACACCATCATCACCTCCTCCTTGCCTTATCGGTCTTGACAGTGACTTCGTTTGATTTCTCAAGATCCAATCAAACACTCTCTTTAACACGAGCAAGTTGCGATAAACGACAAAAGAAAAACAACGCACAAATCTACATTTTTCCCACGCAAATCCCAACAACTCTGAATAATGAATTCCACTGTCCGAGTTAAAAAAAATGTACATTCTTCCAGGCATGGGGGTTGAGAAGGCGAGAGAGAGAGCCACTGCGTCACTCCTGCCTGTCATTCCGTCCGACTGCATGAGCAGTGAGAATGGCGCATTCGCCACAGCCGGGCAACAGACCTGGAGCTTTCGTTGCTCATGTGGCAGGTTCTTGAGGCAAAGCATTCCTGGCATTTTGCCCCTCAGGGAAATAAATACGAAATTGGATCCAGATTTACCACAAACGCCAGAAATAGAAACACTATGGGCTCCACACTCTAATTTACAATTAGCTCGTTACAGATTTACAACGAGCTTTAGATCGAAATTTACTATTAGTTCAAGACATATTTACCGTGGGCTCCACACTAAGATTTACCACAGGCTCCAGCACAGCGCGGCCCACAACCCAGCAGTTACCATAGTGGCAGGCAGACGGGCCCCGGAAAGGCAGCTTTAATTAAAATCTGTGGGCAAATCCGGATGGCACAGCAGCCTTTCAACTCAACTAAATAAATAGGCCCTGTGCTGGCTACCGCCTCAAAATGCAAGCGCTCTTCACCTCAACCCGGCTAATTAAACAGACGCTGCCTTGGCGGCAGAATGCAGAACCTCTCCATCGCCTCCTCCCCCCCTCCCCAAGCAGTGGAACACAGCTCCAGTGAGAAGCCGCGGCCACGGTTGGAGTGCAAGTCTGGGCCAGGCCAGAGGCCCTGTTGCCACGGTGACTAAAAGCACAGGACAAGCCCCAAATCAAGGCCAATAGCCTGACTGTTCCATCTCTTTGCAGCTTTGCTAACTCCCCTCTTTCATACTTCCTCACTCTCACTGGCACCTCCTCACTTTCTACATTTGTGCCCATTTCATTCGCCCGTCCTGACAGGAAGATGAGCAGTAGATAGGGACGTGCAAAGGGTATGGTGGCAATTCGAGCCTGCAATGCACTGCTGTGGAGATGGGAGTCGGTGGATAATCACGTGCGAGGAACACCCAGCTGCAGGACAGCAAGTGGCTGCAGGAAACATTACAGCAGGTGCAGAGCGGATCTATTCTGTGCAGAGTTTGAGTGTTTGAGTGTTTTTCCCTGAAAGCGTGGGTTTTTAGGGCACCCAGTTTCCTCTGTTACACAGAGGTTTCAAAATGAATTAGTCAACCAGGGATCTCTTGAAACAAATCTAAAGGTTTCCCGTCCAAAAAAAAGATTACGGAAATGAGCTTAAGGAGACAGAAACCAGGACAAGGAAGAGTAGGGAGATGGAGGGGGGTAAGGCAAAGATTTACAGAGGGGAAGGGGTGGAAAGAGGAAAAAGGCACAAATGGCGAGGGAGCACGCAAGGCACAGTGAAAGAAGGGGAATTAAATTGCTTGAACAGAAGCTGAAGTCTGCATGGAAAATTCATCAAGGTTCTGAAGAGAACATCCTGAGCACAACCTGCTGGCCCACGCCCTGCTGCTGCTTGTGCGCGTATTGATGGGACCGCCACGTGCTGCCTCACCAAAAGCTCCCCGTTCAGCGAGCTCCTGTGTTGGCTGCGGCCGTGGCTTTATTATTTAAGATGGTAATGTAAATACTGTGGTAAAAGTGAATTATTCCAACACCGGCCATGCGCACACGCTAACGGGCATGCTTTATTGCTTGGCTGCTGCTGTGTCGACATGACTGCAATATCTCACGCACGCACTCACACACAACCCTAGCATGCACACAAACCCCATACTTAGCACACACGCGAACCCCCCACACACACACACACACAAACCCCACACACACACACTCAGCACACACATGGCGCCTTCATTACGCTGCACGCTGAACATAAATCTGCCCTCCGGTCCCCTCCACCTTCTCATTAAACCACGGGCTCCTGCCAGTGCAAGTCGGTCACACAGCATTAACAGATCAGAGGTTTTTCTCTCTCGCAGCTCAAGATTGCATTTTTTTCGCGAGCATTTTCAGATATCTGTAAGTAAGTAATGAGCTGTGGGTTTTTCCATTTGATGCAAAAGTACAATTTAGCCCAAGGCTTGTTGGGCTTTCAAACCAGACAAAATATAATGTCGCTGATTCAGTGCCCTATTAAAAGCGAGAACAGGTTTTTTTTTGGTTTGTGGGGGCCTCTTAAATTAACTATTGTGGGGAAATTCTAATTTATAATTTGAATTTTGCCTACAGGATGTTGTCATAGCAACCCGCTAATATCCATACTTCTGGCCAGCTCATACTACAAACTTCCATGTACCGTCAAGTTGCATTTTTCTGAAAATGTGTAAATCCGTTCACATCCAATCACAGCATCACGGCCATTCTCAAAACATCAATCCCCATCAAATGAGAGGCAGTCAGAGAATGTCAAGGCATACACCAGTGAGTCAGCTTCCAAAGTATCACTAGTTTTAATTCCAGCATTTGTCCGTTTATGCTGAAAAACAAAGCATAGTTCTGCAAAACTAGATTTTAGTACTCTTTAGTTTCTTATTTTTTCTACCTACGTGACTTTACCGAAATAACCAAAGAGTATGAATTCCTACAGTCACGAAAGCTTCAAATCAAGATAGATTTTAGTACTTATCATGAGAACTCTTTTTGTCAGTATCAAAGTATGAAAAATAAGAATAGATTTGACCATTTCTGGAAATAAACAGGAGCTTTAGATGTTCAAACATAATAGATATGGCTGCTCACCCAGAGCTATATATGATCTCATACGTGCATTGTCTCACCTTTCGGCATTCTCTGGTCTGACACTGGTGAGGCAAGGCCATAAAAAAGGCTGTTTTTGGTGTAAGCCAATCAGTTTCAAAGACAATGCCATGCATTATTATCTGAGCATGTTTGTTTGCATGTTCACCACAAGTACGTGTGTTTAATGCAGTACTTGGTTTCTTGAAAAAAAATTCTATTTGCTGTTTGAACATCTTAACACACCTGTTTTATTGCAATACAGGGTAAAACTTATTGTTATATTTAGTACTTTTCATAGGAGGTGGTCACCGGCACACTCCACACAATTGTATTTCAGCCGGTGTGGCCACAATATGAATAATTCAATGTTGAGCTTTGTGTAATGAAATTGGAAATAATAGTCCATTATGTATCAATTGAATGGACCGAAAAACGTTCAAATACCTGTACAAATATTGCTATAAAAGACCAATTACGGAAAAGAAAACTCTTCCGCTGCAAGGGATGTTATATCCATAAAAATTAACTTCAACATGCAGTGGACAAGTTAAACACAAATCATTTTCAAAATAAATAAAAGATCGGGCAAAGATGACTACTTTACTGTAAAAACCTAGAAAACCACACCTTTTTACAAAATGGAACATTTCCCGAAAAAGCAATAA